AGCTTCAGGCGAAATTTCAAACTACTATGGTCAAACCACGGTAAACTCTCCCTCCGAGCCATGAAATCAAATTTGTCGCCGTTTGCAAAAAATATAAATCCAATGAAACTTAGACCTTTTTTTCTTGAAATAGTTCCCTAAGACCTATATTTTGACAGAGTTTGAGGGATTTTCATTTTTATCATTTTACACACCTAAGGCAGCAGTTACAGACGGCCGCTCTTAAATTTAACTGAAATAGGTGAAGATTTCAAAAAGTTGACAATTTATATTGTTCAAAACATATCCTTTGAATACTTCGTGGCATCCCAGATTTTTAAAAAAACCTAGGCATTTTCGTTTTTTAAAATTCTGCCCATTCGGGCAAATATTCAGCGTCAAATACCCCACTCTGCAGAACTGGACTATGGTCAAATGCCCGGGGTATGCCTGGGGGGGATGGGCACTGTTGGAATTGACTCATGCATAATTTTGGCAGTAATTACACACCATAGAATTCTGCCGAGTCTTCTTTTCTTCTCTCGCCTGTAGAGGAGGTAAAAGGAGGCTCTTCTAGCAGAGTAATGAATGGTCTTTTTCTGGTCCAAATCCTTTTTATATCAACCTTTCAGTCAATATGTAAATCTTGATGGCGACGTAAGTATTAAATAGAGATTGAAATGCAATCTACAGGGTTCCCAGCCATTTTGAAAATAAAAATTCCCTGATTTTTCACTGACTTTTCCCTGACTAAATATCAGTTTTCACTGAACTTGTTGGGCCGCATGGGCAAGCATGGGCCACCTGCCTAACTTTTACCTAGGCCCTGCTCTTATCATATTACACAGGATACCCAACGTAATTAAACTGTCCTGCATAAATGATACTATTGCACCAGTCATTTGACATCCCCTGCACCCCCCGTCCCCCCCCCCCGAGGCATACACGGGGGCATAGCGTGGATTTCACCGCATTTTTGCATATATTTGGTTCCATGGTGGTCGGGTAAAGCGCTTCAATTCACAGCTTAGGCTGCAACCCAGGGACTGACCGGGGACTGGGACAGAGTGAGCTCCTCATGTGAGTTTACGTAGTCATAATGGATGAGATGAAGATGGTAAGATTTTGGGTTGTCCTTCACAAATTTGCAAGATGTGATCCTATTGGAGGGCACACATGTGTAGAACAATAGAAAGCAATGAGCTTTCCCCAACCCCACCCCTAAACCTAACCAATCACAAGGGACGTTGCAAATTTGTAAAGCCCAACCAAAGATTTTCATCGCATTTAATAATTATGTTTTTTTAAGCCATCGATCAGAAAATGGCTTTTCACTATTCTATGATAGAGAAAAAGACAGATAAAGAAAAAGACAAACAAAAAGGGAAGCAAATAAGCTGGTACTACATGGAATAAATATTGTACACTTAAATCTAAACCTTTGTCAGCGAACACATTTCTGCCGCAAAAGATATAAAATATCCAGTTGACCTTAAAATAAACTGCTCAAAAGATGACACAGGGACTTCACTTTTATTTTCTTCCCCATGGGGCGGGGCTTTCATTACCTTTCCCTGAGGGAAAAAGTGAAGTCCCCGGGTATACCTCAGGGAGAGGTGCGGGGGATGTCAAATGACTGGTGCATAAATACTTCAATATTTTTTTTCATTATTTGAAAAGATTTATCAGTCTATTCGAAAATTGCAAACAGTATGAGTATCACACAGATACTCATGGTTAACTTCAAACAAAATTCCCTGACTTTTCCCTGACTTTAGGTGAAAATCACAATTTCTCTGACTAAATAGAAAATTACTTGACTTTTCCCTGACTGTGTTTTTTCCTGACTTTTCCCTGACCCCCGGGAACCCTGATCTAATAACCTGATTTTCGTAAAATTTGAATCCGACAGAAATAAGTTAAATTCATAAATGTTAAAAAATGTTTTTATACTTACGTTCCTTATATTTCCTCAAAATATTGTCTGGACGGTAAAGACCATAAACCGGTACCATGTCCAAAGATTTTTTTCCATTTACAGCACTGATTTCTCTCCAAATAACAAGTTTACGGATATGCCAGAACTCCATGTCGAGCCTTGATTCTCTGTAAAATCTTCACAGAATGCTTCAGAACTATTACTTGGTTGACTACACAACCCGAAGATCTTACACGACAAACAAAATGGCGGCTGGAGAGCTTTTTTATAAACTTTTTTGAGACGTATTTTCGCGTCCAGCTGCTCACAAAAACCGCTGAAATACAGCCAAAAATGCTTTCAATGAATTAAATTCCACCTCACTTTGTACAACATATCCTACCAGGTAGAAAAAACAAGAAAAATCTTCTTAATAGAACTGCTTTTAGTTTTACACACGGTTCGAGTGACGACACAGCTCCATCTTCCAGAATACGCATGCGCAGATTAAATACCTACCCATGATGCTTAGCGTTACTTCCATCGTTGCACGTTTGTTGAAAAGGAAGGGGTTGTTTTCTCTGATTTATTCCAAAGAATCTCCGTTTTGAAGGTATGAAAAAGCTTGCACTTGATAGATTCTACTAATTTGATGTATTTTGATCAATACTTTGTAAAATATGCCTTTCTTAATTAGTTTATACCACGAAATTTTGAGAAGATATTGAGATTTTGTTTGGCATCGCAACCGAAAAAACATCGGTCGCAAAGAAAGGGGATGGAACATAAGCTGACCACTGACGTGGATCTGGCCACCATTCGTGGACCCCCCCCCCCCCCCCCCCCCCCCCCCAAAACAAAGATTCGCCCCTGATTTTGGTTATGTTTCGAATGAGCATGCAGCCTTCGAGGTGTTATCGTATTCTTATAGTCCATTTGTGCACGTACCCCCCCCCCCCCCCCCCCCCCCCCATACTACCAGCTTGAAAAGGAATATATATATGTACTGCTGCTTTGCTCGATATTGAATGATGATAAAGATTTTGAACGTGCATAATATGAAAATCATCGATCTTTACCTTCTCAGTGCATAACAGTTATTCTCGATCTCCATGCCTTTCATGTACAAAGCAAACATAAGTTCTTTATCTTGTAAATCATAGTCATAACATTCTTGTCAAATTTTGGGAAATAATTACATGTATTTTAAACGCTTTTCGTATCAGCGTAGGATTTGCCGCCATTTTGTCAACAACTACCACAGGAAGCCCAATCAACTCCTTACATGAAATGTAACACAGGAAACCCAAAATTGATAATAAAAAGATACCAATGGCGGAAAGCAAAGCTCTGTAAATGGGAATGGCTATATTCCATGGACCTAAAGAAAGTTGCCTGTAAGTTTTTGCTATGCCAACATCTGATTGCATTTAAGATTAATGTCTTATTGTATTTTGGCAGATTGTTTCTGTCGTCGCACATCTAGCCTATCCCACTTAAGCTCATTTAATAGCTCGCTAGATCTTTTGTCATAATTTGAAACGAAGTGTCTAAATGATAAGCAGCCGGTCACCGAACTCAAATGACTAAATGGCCGGCAGTTGAATCTTTTTAAAAAAAATAAAGGTTATACAAACTAAATTCTGCATTTTGCATTTCTGGTTCTAGGGCGAAAAAATCGTGCTTGATTTGCAGGTGGCATATTTTTCGTCACATATGCACACTGCCGGTCACCAAACTCAAATGACTAAATGGCTGGCAGTCGAATTTGAAAAAAAAAATTATTCAAAAATGAGTTTCAAAAGTAATGAAAATATATTATCTCGAATAGATTGTATAAATTGTATTTGGGTCAAAATTGGAGCGTTTGTTGTTTGTTGTAACTTTTGACACGCTCAATCAAACAGTCTGCGGGTCACTAAAGTCTTGAGACTAAATGACCGGCAGTTTCAGATTTTATTAAAGATCACTCAAACATCAGTTTGGATCTATTTGGATCAAAATTAAACAGTTATTGACTTCCCTAACATTTAGCAGTGTTCACTCCCCTAAAATATTGGTGTGGTCTGCTTTCTTGGAGAGAGGAGGAGAGAGTTAGGGTATCCCCCTCAAAATGGCCATTTTGTCTCTAAAAAGAACATAAAATTACCTCAACATTAACACAACATAAAAGCTGTGTTTTCAATTGCCCAGATATAAAACGTTGTCATAACAAAGAAGAGATATCACTTAGTGTTTCTTTGCATGGAGGTGCAATTATCTTTTAAACTGTTGGCATGGCAACCATAAGTTTGAATTTGATTTTTCTGTCATTTCATTATTTTTGGTTGTGAATATCTCAAAACTACAACACCGAAATGATAAACTGAAATGGGTGTCGGCCAATTCAGTCTATGTCTTCAAACACTCAATTAAGAAAAATATTTGCAGGCACACATTTATGAGTTTTCTCAACCCTTCTGCTTCCTTCTCCAAATAACATAAGTTTGCTTTTGTTTCACTCTTTCAAAGATTGATCTATCCAATTTTTTTTTTTTGGCAATTACATTGTCAATTGAGATCTAGTTGGAGTATTTCACCTTGCATGGCGTGCAGATCCAGTTACGGTTTTTAGGTTTGGTTTTCAAAGACGTATAAGCAAAATGTAACCAAAGTAGGCACCTGTCACATTCAATGCTGTCTTCCTGTTCATCGTCAATAACTTTAGTGCAAACGGCACATTGATAACCAACTTTGTTTTTTTCTTCAATAGCTTTTAGGACGAGTAGCCAGGATCCTTTAGTGAAATATTTGGCAACTCTATGAATATCCATGCTCTCCTTCTCTCTTACAGCATCAGATATATTTCCTATGGGTAAAACGTCATGCTCCTCTAAACGATGAATACCTGTTAGCGCCTCTCCTGCTGCTGTGGCTGGTGTCAAACATGTCAGAATATATCGATCTTTGTCAATCAGACTGAGATTGCTGAAAGTAAGTGCCTTTTTCATATCTTTGCATTTCCGTTTTTTTGTTACAGGGAGACCAATCACGGTTACTTCAGCTCCTTTGGGCCGTCGCCTTTTTAAATTTTTCGGTGGCATCTTTGTAGAGGATAAGTATGGACCTACGTCGTCATCAACACTTACATAACTGTGAAGAAGCTCATTTTCTATCCCGCCCTCAGCAACTCCGTCATTTATTTCGTCCAACACATGGGTTTTAGCGTCATCTGTTTCTTCTTTTTCTTTTGCGTCATCCGCTTCTTTTTGTTTTGCGTCTTTTTCAACCTCTGGTTCTATTCCCATGTTTTCAACATCTAGGGGTATTTCTTGAGCATCTTTAGTATTTCCACTCTCTTGTAAGTGTACAGAAACCTTGTGTCCGTGTTTCCAATGATCGATTACAGCTTTTAACACTTGGAGTCGGTCATGGAATGTACTCATACCCCCCTCACTTGCAAGTGATGCAAGAACTTGGGTGTGTATCAAAGCCTTCCGGAATTTCAACGCTTGTGAAAGTGGCTTTTGTGAAGTGCTCTCCCCTTTAGCTATTTGAACAATTTCTGTGTAGTCTTGATCGTTGGAAAAGGACACATCCTTGTAAAGGCGATTTCCTGTTTCATATATGTCCATAGACCATCTTTTATGTATTATATTTTGTGCGTAAGGTGAAAGCTTTAAAACTTTTCGAACCTTAAATATATGCTTACAAGGTAAGGACATCCTTGTAAAGAAAGCACAGTCACGTGAGGTATCAGTAGTAGCGTGATGTGTCTGATTGGTTGCAGACGCAGAAACGCTAAATTCACGGGTGTTCCTCTGTGATATAACTCTTACTTTCTCTAATTGTTGATATTGTTCTTGCACAAATTTGAATGCATACGGCGTCAGGTTTTTAGAAAAAATCTCAAGGTCTTTTTCGATGCTTTCCAGCTCAGTCCACTTTTTTGTGATAGACATGACATAACGCTGGTTTCGCTCTTCTCTGAGACATTTCAAAACTAGCATGAATTCATTGCAAAACTGAAGCAAACTTGTGTATTTGGTACGAACACTCCTAATCTTTGCAAATGCAGACTCGAGCCTATTGTTCATAACTTCTCCCAGGTTAAGCACTCTATCTTTAAAACAGGTGACCCATTGCTCTTTTATTGGGTGCCAGTTCTCCATCACATAATCTATGACGCTCATGATTTTCGTGTTCCTCAGGTCATCCATGGATTTATCATACTATTCTGGTGATTTTCCATGTGTTGCAGCAGATAGGATCTCTAGTACCCTCAGTCGCTCTGCCGACGTTATTCCCAGTTTCTCACAATTGATCTCTCGCTTAAAAGACCTCAATGTATGAAATGTGCAAATTAGTAATTGCGCTCTAGGAAGAGAAGACGCAAATGTTTCTTGCTCTGTGAAGTCCTTATCTGACATAATAACTCTGGTTTTTACCCATGAAGGATCGTGCTTCTTGAACGACTCTACGGCAGCTCCTATCGCTTCTTTCGTTTTTTCAGCGAGAATAAACATACCCACTATCTCACTAAGGCCATTGCCGTCTCTAGTAAGTAGGAGATACACAGGTAAACGTAACTCGATAAGTTTGTAGGTAGCGTCAACCAGGAGCATCTCTGGATACTGTTCAAAAATATCCTTCATATAACTATCTTGGTGAAATAACCCTTTGAAATTATCTTCCGCATATGTTATAATGTCAGTGACAGACCCAGGCTGTTTACCTAAAAATTCTACTACGTCAGCAAGGTCATTTGTTTTCAAATCCCTAAAAGCAGTTTGCTTGATGTTCGACAGATCCTTTAAGGTGACCTTTTTCCCTGTGGCACGTTCAATTTGATCATTAAAGTGCACCTGCACCCTATTTTTTTACATTCTTAACTGTTTGTACGGAATTGTTTTGTGGTATTTCGGTCACATTTGATAAGAAAATTGAATGCGGAAAATTGTTTTAAAAATACGAAATGYGTGGTCCATTACCGCAGAATCAAAGCGGGAGTCTGGGTCCGAGTGTGACGTCACCCCAGGCCATGACTTGTTGCTTGGTGCAYGAAAGTTAGTAAACAGATCGAGTACTTTTGAAAGACAAGAGCTTTTTGAAGACGAATTCGTGAAGATGGACTCTGATGACTCTGATCTAGAGACATCCAGTGACTTACAAGATGAATACGATGTTGAGGACGAATGTTTTGACTGTTCTGAGCAGTCCGATTCAGGAGAATATTTGTCAGTCGAAGGAAATGATGATACCTCTGAGTGGTACGAAGGGCATCATTCAGAAGAACAACTGGCAGACGAAGAATGGACGAGACAGTATGAAAATACTGAATGAGAAAATGCCAAGATTGAGGAAATGCTTCACAAACGATTGACTGCCATTAGTGTAGTAAGCGAATGGTGAGTTTTCTGTGCTATTGAAACGTAAAAGCGCACCATGAATCTATAATGCCAGAGCGGTTTCGCCAAACCGCACAATGTTTTTGAATGAGCTCGAGGATGACACAACCAAGATTGCGACTTTTGTAAGCTTTACAGTCTCTTGTTACGTGTATATTGAACATTCGTCTTTTTACTGTTTGTTTTGAAGGTGCAAGTGTGGCAATTGCTCTACTGAGATACTAGTAAATATAAGCGAATGCTATTGCTGCAAAGAACTCGATGGATGCGACGAAGCTCTCCATTTTCAAGAAGTACTTCAAGACCTTGATGAGAATGCTGAGCTGAACTGCATAACCGAACATCCTGGCTTCTCAGCAGTATGTCTCCAAAAATGGAGTCTTAAGCTAGCAGCTGATAAGTACAAAACCAGAGATCGGAAAAGATATCAACAATCAGGATCAGAGGAAAGGTAAGCTGAATGTGTGGCTTCTTTATGTACACATTATACTTTAACCAAAGAAATTATGAAAAACCTCATCAATAAAAAGTTAAAGATGCCAAAAATATTTTTATAAAGCAGTTTGTCCTTCTCGACATTATTTCCAAGGATGAGGGTATGTGGACCGCGTGGCACTAATGAAATAGTAGAAGATAATATAGGTAAGTTGTAGTGCTTGGGAACGAGGTTATTCCGGGCGAAAGCCCTTGGAATTAAATTCGGAAAAATTAATTTCCGACCTCGCTGGGATCCGAACCCACGACCTTCGGAATTGTACTACCGATGCTCTACCAGCTGAGCTAGAGGTCAGACTGAGAGCAGGCCGGGGTGAAATAGATGTTAGGTCGCGGTAATTATGATGCAAAGATGAGAGTATGTGGACCGCGTGGCACTAATGAAATAGTAGAAGATAATATAGGTAAGTTGTAATGCTTGGGAACGAGGTTATTCCGGGCGAAAGCCCTTGGAATTAAATTCGGAAAAATTAATTTCCGACCTCGCTGGGATTC